ATATTTTTTTTATAGCAAGGCTTCCCCATATTACATTACCGGAAGTTTTGAGTGCAGATGCCTACAGCAGCGAACGCGTTATAATCTGTAAATTGTGCAACGTGAAGAATTATATAGTATATCAGCTAGCTAGGCTTCTGATCAATCAAAGATTGTTAGCAAATTCCTGTTGTTTTATTATTTATGTTTATTGTTTAAATATTTATGTTACTTCGAGTTTTATTTAAAGAAATTAATCTATAAAACTATAAATAACGTTCGAGGTATGAGATATGTCTGATATTTAGTAACATAGTAGCAAAACTTATGCGTTTGTTCACAGTTGAAAATACAGGCTTAGATATGAAAAATTGTTACTTTCGCCACTAGAGTTTGCTACAACCCCCGTTCTTAGAAAAATACACCAGACTCGCACTTTTTCTACATTTATGCTTTTCCCGTGAATTATGAACACATACCAACGAATGACTTTGTTTATTTTTTACATTGATCAGATAATAATGTATGAAATCATTCACGTTTGAGTGCGACTCTGAACGATCTGATTAAATATAGTCCGGCAGAATCGGGCCTTAACATTGTTTTGGGACATAAAGATTTTTTTATTGTTCAGATATAATGTCGATGACATAAATAATGATTTTTTTTAAGTTGATTTTAAGTATTCGTACCACGATGACGCACATCCTGAACCCTAACCTGGTACATATACAATGTTCAGGTTGTGCGCCATGTTGGTACGAATACTTCGGAAGCACCTTTTTGTTAAAAACTATTATTTCACAACTACATGGGTTAGTTTTGAATACATAGTAACATTGAATTTCCTTACAATGTCAGAAATTTAATTTTAGTAGAATATATGGTAGTTTATTTCACTAATATAAGCCAAGATCCATCGACAGCATCTAGCCACTTTCTTTTGCGCTCTTCAAACTACATTTGTGTTGCCGCGAGCATTTCGTTTTCCTGCTTAAAGCTTAGGGACTTTAAAAATATTTTATTAGTTGGAATGGATTGGAATATGCGACCTTGTCTTTCACTTCGAACAAGGCCATGGAAAACCATCCACTGGTATCTAACGACGTGTAACGTGTTTTCTTTTGGAAGAACCGGAACCTGTCAGATGTAGCATTGACTTTGGCCAAATCAATATATCCTTGTGGAGATAGAAGGTATGCGTATGCAAAAACGAGATGTGCACCTGTTTTGCCAACATAGTTGAGTCAAACATTTTGATCACTAGTACATCACACACATTTTTCTGCGTGCTTCGGTTGTACGTAGTAACGCGCACATTTTTGCGCACATGCATCAAATTCCACTTGTTTATTGAGCTATAGGTTTTTGACGAGCTTTTGTGTATAATTGCATTTCATAGAATTTGTATGCTGTTCTGAAAAATACTAGTTCCATCTTTTTCATTCATTCAAACCGCGTGTTGGAAGTAAGTTTTGTAATATTGCTTGTTGGTTTTCAACTGGTTTGTTTATATCCATCACTTGACATCGGTGATGCCAGTAAATCTTTGTTACATAAAAATCAGTATCATCTGCAATAAAAACAACAGTACCGACTCAAATGACAACTGGGGGATGAATACTCATATTGTTGCTCCATCGCGTGCCTCTTACCAGTTTACAAGAGTGCCAATTGGTATCTAAGCTCAGCCAGAGACAAAAAGTTTCAGACTGTGGTCGGCGTGACGAAATGTTTTTAAATATATATTCTACAAAACGATTATTTGATTGCAAATTACTGAAAGTTACGCCTTATATATATATCTTTTCCCATTGCACTATTCCTTTACTGATATTCGATAATATCTGACATAGTTTTTCAAGTGTGTAGAATGTAGATAGGCATAATCTTGTCCACGCTGTTCAGATGGGATTGCAAGAATATATCTAAAAATCGCTAATATTGGTTTGCAATGCGATGAAATCCCATCTTGGCTTTTCTGCTTCCCGCAATTGCTGCGTATATTTATTGGAGAAGTTCTGTGTCGTAGTTATCAAATGAAGAAAACATGGGAGTATTTTTCTACTTCTCGACTACTCTCAAACCTTCACATTTTGTGAAAACTTTTTTCCATTCAACCATTTTTTGAAACATCCCAACAACCACAATTAATTCTGTCATTAAACTTCCGAAACAAAAACATAAAATCATCAACAGATGCATATCACCAAGTCCTAAGTAGATATTGCTAAATTGATCTTTATTTTACCATTTTTCATGTAATGCTTTTTGGTAAACCTGTTATGTATGTTATAGTGTAACTTTTTTGGCCTCGCATTTTTGATATTTGTAGTTAGATCTCTTGGGGCTTTGTCAAACAAAGCTACATACAAAATATTGGTTGTAAGTTGCAAAACATGATCATGTTGTTGGAATAACTTGGCATTTTACCACTCGTATAGCATTCATTGTCGAGAATATTAATGATATCATAAAATCTAAAACCCGTTTTCGCGAATTTTTTGTTGTAGCTCAATTCGAGGGACAGCATGACAACAGGCAGGAGAAGCACGATCGCCTTTTTTAGTTTATGACAGGGTTTCTTAAGAGGGGACCCCGGTCTCCTTGGAGGCCACTGATCGGTTATCTGGTAGCACGAACAAACAGATGGAAATGCGAATATATAATAACAATGTATTTTTATAGAAGAGAAGAAGCAAAAGTGTTGAGAGTCTTTGGTAGTTTGAAAAGCATTGGGATGGAACATAAGAATGAACTACATTCTTTCCCGTGGATATACTATAAAATGTAGCAATTTTCTCATACTTGTTCTCGTGATAGCATTATCTTTCACTGCATCGTCGTGATCATCCCGGTGCACAACAATCCTTGCTATCAAATAATTTACTGTTCTCCAACGGGTGTATATCCTATTGAACCACTGCCGGCTGCATTAGCAGGCTTGTATTGTTAATTGCAACAAAAGCGGGTATTTTGAAATAGCACTCTTTCTTTTTACGCGTATGTTTCAACAGTATTTCAATATATATGGGTTGCGATCCAAACCTGGGTTCAACAAATACCTAGGAGATATTGATTTTTTTTCTAGTAAATTTGGTGCTTCTGTAGTTTGTGCACCAAAATGGCGCACAACCTGAACATAGTATTGTACCACATATTTGACGAAAAACACTAACACAAATATCAAGCCGTAAAAAAAAATTGCTCAAGGCTGCAAACTCCACATTCATGTAGAAATGATGGGCAATGACACCAAGATGAATAATCACAAATAAAAAAACTTTATGTCTGAAAACAAGGTTGGGCCCAAAAAGGCCCCTTATCTGCCCGACTAATAAATTTATCACCAAGTTTAGGAATTTATAATGTGTATCGCATTAGATATGACTAATTATTTCTTATTTTCAAACATTGCATGCAATTTTCCCACAGGGCAATGACTGCAACGCACCATTCTTACCTTTTTTAGCAAATGAACGTCACTGTGTAGGCTACTTGCCGCCTAATTATTTCCGGCATCGGCGCGATAAAAGCACACGTTGCAAGGTTACAGCAATCATTCTAAATTCAACGCGATAGTGCAAGCCAGGTATATCGGAAAGTGGAAAGGTGTTTTGAATTTGGCTTCTGCTATAGTGTGACATACGCAAATAAAAAAAGAACGCAACATAATCACACTCAGGTAATTGCTTTTGTGAACACCCACGGGTGTCGGCTAGACTGTTCGTCCGGCGTTTTTAGTGTTAGTGCTAGTTCATTTCCCACTGAATTTGCTTGTATTCATAGAACAAGCCACCTTAGCCCAGGTAGACCTTCTTCTATGTTTATGAGCGATACAAATAACAACCCTATATTCAAGCTTGCTACCAAGGTTTCCTAGGATGTCACATTCAAGGAGCGAAAGTTTAATAAGGAAATTTGTGTACTCTTTCCAGTTTTTTGTCTTTCTTTCTTGTGAATCGTTGCCAATTTCAACAGCACAACAATCTGGATGGTATTTACTGTGGCAGCAACTTTTCAAATTTTTTTGATGACTACGTTCGAAACAATGGTTCGAATAATAAGTAGATGTTTTTGAAATAGGTTTCCTTTTCGAATACCGTGTGATACGTCAGATTCCATTTTATTAAAGGTAACAATAGCAAGGACATGGCGAATGACTTTGTGTGACATTGCCGTATTTCACGTACGCAAATACACCATATGATCTCCTTTTAATAAGCGTGGCAATCATTAATGCGGTATTATACGATATGAAAATTAGTTGAGTAAATTTGGGTGCTCTGCTCCGTTTTTGTTTTTCTTTCTTGTGAGTCGTTGCCAATTTCAACAGCACAACAATCCGGGTGGTATTTATTGTGAAAGTGTTGCTTGGCAGCAACCCTCAAATTTATTTGATGACTCCACTCCGTTCAATACAATAGTTTGAATAATGAGTAGATGTATTTGAAGTAGTTCTTCTTTTTGAATATCTTGTGAAACGCCAGTTTCCACTTCATCGAAGGTAACAATACCGAGGACATGGCGTATGACTTTGTCTGACATTGCACGTACACAAATACACCATATGATCTCTTAACTTTAATACGGTATTATACAATGTGAAAACTAAATAAGTAAATTTGTGTGCTCCGTTCAGTTTTGGTTTTTCTTTCTTGTGAGTCGTTGCCAATTTCAACAACACACAATCCAGGTGGTATTTATTGTGAAAGTGTTGCTTGGCAGCAACTCTTAAATTTATTTGATTACTCCGTTCGAAACAATAGTTCAAATAATGATGAGATGTTTTAAAAAAGGTTATCCTCTTCAAATACCTTGTGATACGCCAGTTTCCATTTCATCAAAGGTAACCATAGCGAGGACAGGGCAAATTATACCGTATGATTTTTTTTTTTATTATAAGCGTAACAATCATTAATACAATATGGTGAAACTGGGCCTTCAATTGGATATCATTTATTATCAATTTTCATAAATGTATTTTCAATTGGTGAATAGAATTAATTTGCAATTTGATCTTCTATATGTTCCATTTAGGCCTAAAATTAGGACGTAATTATGAATTCTCACTTCCAACTCGATAATCCCAATTTGGGCAAAGAAGATATTTTATATCACATTGGATTGACTGCCAAGGATGATCTGCAATCAATGTTCCAAGACGTAAAGGTAGGTACCAATAGTTACATTTGAAGACTTTGCAAATCTGCCATTTAGGTTTTTTAGAGAAGAATCGCACCACAAACTTCTGCAATTCTGAATTTATAAAATTTTGCAACATTTCTCATGGGATCGTGGTGTTCAGTAGATTTTTTCAAACTTCCCTTTGTTCGTACACTAATGAAAATCGTGTTTCACTGAATTTTGTACGATTTTCGGTATAAAAGCAGCCGGGGGAGGGCTTTCGCGGTCGAATTTTTTTTGTACTCGCGCATAATTGTGTATCCAGTGAGAGTTATTATATATTCATCGGCGAGATGAAGACAAATAAAGGAGTGAATCCGCGACGCATTTTTTTGATTGAAGAGCGGAAGTCTAAAATACTAAGGCATTGTAAATCGCAAAATATCGTGTGCCTACGACACATATTAAGTTTACTTCGCGTTGGAAACCATACCGTCACCGAAATCGAAACACAGTCAATTGTGCGCGGTATTCACTTTTTTCATCCATTCCTTTAAATTGCCTTCAAATTTTGATGTTAACCATTATACAAGTTTGAAAACGCGATCTTATTCTATAGTATATCCAATCAATTTTTATAGTAATAAATAAATTTTACTCCGTGAGATTTTATAGCAAACTTTGTGGTATTTTTCTAACGGGTATATCACAAAAATAAACTGAGTGGCAGCATTGCGATAGAGCGGAGTCAGTATTGCAAGTAAAAGTGGCAAAAATACGGATCGAAACAAGATGTAATCGATCAGTTCACGACACATTCGCAACTAATTATTTTGAATTCGATCATCATTCATTATCAGATCAATTACATTTTTTTACATCATATTCTGAGCAAACATATGTGCTAAAAATAATGTCTATGATATATTTCATAAACCTTTTCTTATATCTATTAAATCACAATTTTACGAATATTCTATTTTAAGCTATCAAACTTGATTCATAATACAATTCATGTTTGGTAAATCATCCATATCTTATTCATATACACAATTTTTGTGTATTGGTAATCGATCAAGCCTGGGGCTTAAGTGGTTTTATTTCGCACAGAGATTGCGGCACAATGAAATGATTTCTGACTAGATTACTTTATGACTTTGAATACTGATGCGATGAATATTCTAAAAACGCGTGGTTTTCTTATTTTTATTGAAGTTATAAAAAATAATTTTTGTCACTTTACCATCTTTTCAGTTTGTATGCATGGGAGGGAAACCATCTCGAATGCAAAAGTTTGCAGCTTATTTAGATGACAAACTCGGAAAACCCGAAACATCGAGGCGTGAAAAAGGAGGTAACATGTTAAAAAAAATCCGCATTTTACCAAACAGATAGCAAAACCGTGTTTTTATCGAGCACCCTATTTCCCCATTTCTTCTCATTCTGCTCTTTGTAATAATGTTTATTATTTCCTACTTCAAAACTCAAAACATGTCGGTGTGATGAGAGGCGATGTAACCGAAATAAAACATTTGTTTGGAGAATCAAGAAATAATAACCAAACAATTCCACGCGTTCATAACACGCACATTTTCTATTTGTATAATTTTAAAAAGCAATTTTGAAGTCGTTTAATGGATTTCTTAGTTTAATATTTAGCGCTAAATTTAAAGTTAAGTGTTGGTTATATGGTCCTAATCGCCATTTGAATGGCCTTTCTCATGGAGGGCAATTATATGATTTTGAGCAGCTAGTATTATTAGACTGCTGTGTAGTGGTTCATCACTACGTATTAACTAATTCCACATGGATACTAAAGAAATTATATATAATGTGGGTTGACGATATTTTTGGTTAGTAAGACCAATTTTGTGAAAACATGTCCCGCTGTCCACATTTCAAAAGCCAGCGACTGTCGTGCGAATTACTTGGCGTCCTCGCCTACGAAGATAATTCGTTGAAACTATTTTTTACAACCAACCCAAAATATACCATATTATCGGTATATATTTCCTTCTACTTAATACAAGTCCATGCAATTCAGTTTTAATGGCAGCACCATACTTTCATTTTTAGAGCTCCTTGATATATCTGGGTCAGCAGGACGATATTCCATGTACAAAGCAGGGCCAGTTTTATCAGTGAGCCATGGAATAGGACAAGCTTCACTCTCTGTAGTTTTGAACGAAGTGAGTGAGCTTTTTGTTGTTTAGGTAGCCTTATTTTCCAGTTCCAAATGATTAATTATTTGCAAACTGACCGGTCTTACATTTTCTCAACTATCAGTTTAAACATGTAATTATGAAACAAATAAGCAATGGTTTTGTCGAACATATTAGCTCGTCGAAATTAATCTGAGATGAACCCTTACTTACCTTCCGACCAAAGTTATCCTCTGTGACGTTTGTCCCCTCCATAGTGTTCGATATTTTACAATTGATATTTGATCTATATGTTGTATACTAAATGTATTAACTTATATTTATAAAAAGTGTAAAAATAATAGCAAATCCGTTTTGTGTCGCAATCTCGAAAAGTTGCATTATTTTGACATTGCTCTAATAGGACGCAATTTAACTCGCTGCTTGACTCTGTGGATTTTCATAAATCGATGAAATGAATCGTACAGCTTTTCCTCGTCGGACAACATTACATTACATGGATTTATGAAAAGCCACAGAGTCAAGCAGCGAGTTACATTGCGTCATATTTTGTTATCCCTTTTTTACAAGTTTTACTGAAGAAAAGTATATTACAATTTTATATCTTTATTTTTGTTTCAGATATTAAAACTTTTGCACTATGCAAAGTGTAACAAAGATGTTATTTTTATAAGAATTGGATCAAGTGGTGGACTAGGTGAGTCAACGTCATAATGAGTGTTTAATTATCATTTGCTATTATTTTGTGTGACTTAATGTTGATCTGCAGAGTTTTTCTTAATGACTCATTTATTTGAAGAATATACTTGTCTTTTGGAATAAGTGAAATTTGAATATTTTTGCCTGATAAAATTAGTCATTATATTTACATTTTTGTCATAGATTACAAATGTGATATTACTATTTCTGTACAAAAATCAGAATTCACGATTTAAATAGCTAATAGGTTTGATCACTGACACACAAATTCGAAAAGATCCAATGAAATTACATTGCTGAAATCTTACTGGGCGTGCACAGCCTAACCTATAACTACATTACAGTATGTCAAAGTATGTTTTTCTTGTTTTCCTATGTAGGTGTTGAACCAGGAACTCTTGTAATTACGGACCAACCGTACAACAGCACTCTCGAACCTGTTTTCTTGCATGTAAGTTATTGCTTTTACAAGTAGGACGATTGAGAATCATTTGAAATTGTGAATGTTGTTTCTGACTGGTACCCGAGTACCAAGTATAATATATACTCTAATTATGCTGATATGCAACGCATCCATACGCCAATAACTTCTCCATGTTGGGCTATGAATAACTTAGATTAGACAGTAAACTGCAATGCAACGTACATCAATATGTGTTAATGACTTCCAGAATTAGTATACCATGATTTCTATCGCGAATATTCATTATCACATCAATGAATTTAATGATGGGGAAAAACTGCTTCCTTGTATAGAAAAGCATTTCCTGGTTTTGATGTCGTGATGTTTTTCTATTCACAACATCAGAAAATCGCACGTAATTATCTCTAAAAAAGTAGCGAAAAATAAAAATAGGCCAGGAGCGGATCAACATTACTTTGATACTACATGTTAGATTAAAGTTTATTATCTTTATTTCAGATATCTTTAGGACGATCAATTCCACGACCTTGCTCAACCTGTCCAGATACCAGAAGAGAATTACTTAACTGTTCGAAAAATCTTGGTATTCCTGCAGTGATAGGAAACACAATGGCAACTGATGATTTCTTCGAAGGTAAGATTCAAACTTATTTGATAGCTCGATTCCAAGTGGTAATTTTTGTGGTATATATGTAGAAAAAGCAAACAATAAGATGCTAATAATATCAAGTGAGCAATGCTCAAATACATGCACACAAATGCCAAACGAATTAGTATATATCAAATTATATAGAGTAACGGCAGGTAGTGTTTCTTATAAAAACTGCCAACTTTTCTTGTAATGCGATCGCGTAACCTTCACACGTTGCGCAATATTTAAATTTGACGTCGACATCACACAAAACTTTAAAGAGAAAAACGAATCCCATAGAGCCGACATAAGTTTTTCAATTGACAAAATTAATAGCCTTCTAGCGACGACAACAATCTTTAACCCCTGGAAATTTCAAAGCAATTAGTAGGCCTACAGTAGAAAAATAAAAGCGATGTTTTCACAACAACAAAAAGAACAACAACAACGATCTATAGGTTCAGTTCCTGTTCAAAAGTAGAATGTAAAATACTGAACACTATGATGAAATTATTTGCCAATGAACCCTCAAAACGACTGTAAACAATCAGTCGTAGTTTATTTAAAGCTATCATTGTTGGCATTGCGCAGTAGTACTGCGAGGATTATTTTGACAGGAGAAATTACTAAATTGAGCAGCACTGAACGGTTACCGATAAGCTGCTCGATTAATTCGAACAATCTCGGACTGTGTGGTCACTCCGGTCTTTCAAAGCCATCATGTCATCGGTAACTTTACATAAATTTCCTTTGAGCCAACCGACAAACAATCGAACACGACTCTCCTAACTTCACGCAATTGTATCACTGTTATTTTTTAAGTTGATGATAACAGGACGCGCGTGGATTAAATAGTTGGGACTCAGCGCTGGTTTAACCATTAAACAATATAAGCACGTGCTTAGGGCACCAACCACCACAGAAATTTTAAAGCAGAATTTATATAGTTTAATGGTGTTTATTAAAATATTTCGAGTTCACCAGGTGACTCAAACGTTATAATGTTCACTTTTTTTTCGTCTTCAAGTATCATATTAACCTTCATTATTAAAAATAAACACTGAAACCTATTTATTTGACACTAAATGGGCCTATGAGTCGTTTTCGAAATTTCTTTTCCCTTCAACAATTGGACCAATGAACTATTTGCACGGTTCCACGATCGCATTTCAACGATCTAGTGGTCAGCTAAGTCGGGAGTTTTTTGATAAGGTAGACCAGGGTGGTCCAAACCCTGTCATGCTGAACATTCCGTGCGGCCCGCCCACAGACCAATTTTAGCGTATATTTGTATCTGATTCCAGAAAAATTTTATATTTTTAAAGCTATTCCAACTGGGGTTGGGATCCCGAGATTCAAACCTTTTGCCTTTATTTTAGTAGAAACACTCTTCTGTTTTCAAGCTTGGGCCATGTGACAGTAGCAAAATGCAGAGCCGACTTAACGCCGCGCAATCCCGTTTTTTAGCTAGGTCGCGAAATACCAACTAAGACGGACTTGGTTGTTATTTGACGACGGCACTAAGCTTGCTCACGCTGCAAGTTTTTAAATTACTCAAAATATAACAATTCGTAATAGAATGAGTGTCACAAGAAAAGTGACATGAGGAAAACACGGCGGAAACGTATTTCCTTGCCCATTACACAGTGCCTGGTTTGATTTCAAGTAATATCTGTCACGAAAGAATATAACTTGAAGCGACATTAAATGCGAGATGCGGAAAATACAACGATAATTCTCGGGAATTATTTTTTAAATAACTGAAGACTTTATATATCTTCTTTAAAAGAACGCCACACATGCAACATAATAATAGTCTGATTAGAACAGTATAAACAACTCCCGTTGTTTAATAAATTTAAAGTAAGTAAACTCGCAATATCCCGATCACTTTTGGGTTTTCTCCGCGGTCCGCGGGACCTCCTGAAAAGTTTTTGCAGTCTTTCAACCTAGCAACCTTGAACCACCCTGAGGTAGACTACTAGGTACCGGTAAAATTTCAAACTACAGTTGTGACTTTTATCCTTTGCTATTTTGATTCACGTTGAGACTGGAGGCATGAATCTTTATTGTCACACTCCCTCAGGATTAGAGCTCAACCGATATGCCTGTCCGATATTGCGTGTTTGCCGATATATCATATCGGCATTGACCGGCCGATATATATATATATAACAGTTTAAAAAGCTATAAATGTTCGTAGTAAGGGGGGCACAAAGTCTTCAGTGCTTAGGGCACCAAAGGGGCATAATCCGCCCCTGGTTGGACTAAATCGTTAGTTAGGCTGTAACCCAGTAAGATGATTGTAATTTGCATTACCACGACCGTTGATTTATGCAATGATGTGATTGAAAATTTAAGGAACAAGTTTTCTATTGCAGTGGTTCCGAACTTTTCTACCCAGGCGGACCGGTAAAATTAAACAAAATTTATGTACTCGCGGACCGGCAAAAATTGAAACGAGTGGAATAGAAAAGAATAACATATCTTTGCGAAATGAAATACAATGCCGGGCAGCCATTATGCATAAGAAGGGCACACATAAAAAAACGTGTACATGCCAAACATGCACAAACAGTAAACACAATTAACTCCAGTGAGAATTTTGCTTCTGTTTCGTTTCCAATATATATAAGATTGCAAACGAGGCCTCAAAGAAGTTTTTGCAACACGTAGCCGGGCAACGGAGTACAGCCAATGTCTTTGCGTCGTTTTAATTGACGCTCGCGATGAAAATGTTTTTTCGCATAACGCAGTAACTGGTTGAAAATACGGTCAACAATTTGAATCCTCGATTACTTAGCGATGGGTATTCGTTATCAAGAGATATCCAAAATTGTGACAGTGATTCTTTTTTAAATCTGGACTGTGAAGTAGAATCACAATTTTAATAAAGCTTTTTCTTTTTCTTCGGATTCATCATATTGATCTCTCTGCAGTTGATCCACGCCTCAGGCGAAATGAATTTACATTACAATGACAAAGTCGTCGGTAAATTGGCACCAGGCACAAAATCCTACTGTGTTTGCTCAAAATACTAGAAAAGATCTCTGCGGCCCATGCCTTTATGCGCGTTTCGTGACCACCTGCAGGGTCGTAACAAGTTCATATCTTACTGGAATATTATATTGTTCTTGACTGTTTTCTTGTTTGAACAAAGAAATATGCATAACGTTTTTTAGGGATGGTCATATTAATCAGGATAAGCACGCAGGACAGAAAAACCACGAGTGCTGATATTTAGGTTTCTGAATCTTGCGAGATTTGATGGAGTGCATTCGCGATGAATCGGAGCCGGAAAAGCAAAAAGTGTGATTACCCGGCGCCAAGATGTCGCGAAAGACGCCGCAATATGACAGCGAAAGAGAAATTGCGTGATAAACCAACGCAACCTCGTCTTCGGTAAAGTATAAGTTTATTTCGACTCCATAATCAGCAGTAGACGATAAAATACTAGATAATAGTAGGTAATAGATAATAAAATAATAGACGATAAAACAGAAGAAAATAACTAAATATAGAATCGGGAGAGCAAACAAAACCTAAAGTAAGGTTTGAAGCGTACAGATTTTAGATGGAAAGGTATTGATAAAAGAAGTATTACGTGTTCGCTCACCCAAAAGTGTAAAAACAAATTGAAGCACGCACACACACACACACTCATCGAAACATGATAAGGTTGGAAGTAAAAAAAGCGAGACTTAAAATCAATTAAATTACTCAGTAAAAAAAAAATATAGAAACAAATAAAAAAAATGAATAAATTCTTTTGCCACACCAAATTAATAATTTTATGAGGATTGCCAAATTGGATACCGAATTAGTCAACAAGAGTTTTATACTGTGGATAGAAAAATTATCCTCAAAAGATATCGTCAAGCTGATTATAATTGGTGTCACCTAATGCCAAATTGCCCAATCCGAAGTTGGATGCATGAAGAGGTGGGCTAGACCTGCTTCACTCACAAAATAGCAGCCAAAACTAGCCACATCAACGTCCAAATCATTTTAAATACTATTAATTAATAAAAGTATCGGTAATTATAATTAAATGAAATAGGGCAGTATGATACAGAGGTAGGAAAATTGGTTACGGGAATATATAGATTATTAAAGGTTCAAGTAAGGTTTTTTAAAGTCATGGAATATGGGCAAGCAAATTTAATTGAGGTTGTTGATCACTGCGGTCAGTTCAAATTCATCACGGATCATTTATCAGTCTGCAACTTTTGTTGATGTATACACCTCTTATGTTGAATTAGCTAGCTTTTAATTTGATCATCATGACGTCCTGAAAAACAAAAAATATATCTGCGAGTACAATATTCAATGCTTGCAAATAGGGAATCAATAGAAAACTGCTCTACACTTTTGAGTGGAAGTTGTTGATTTGTTTATATATTGATCAATATTAATTAACTATCATTAGACTGCTAGTTGAAAGACCCGAGTAAGAGAAGATTGTGGTTAGGACACAAGACAAGTTGTTCACAAACCATGCAAAAACCTTTTGATGTCGTTCAAACCACACTCATGTTGGCGATTATCTTAATTAATAACATCACACTAAACGGCACACATTTGCATGCTCTAACCACACAGCATACTTTCAACCAAGGATAAAATCTTTGTATACACGCAGGACACAGCATATAGTACTACAAGTTAAAATGTAGGGGAGAATCCAAATATAGCTCGACTGGTCACCTAACTACAATAATTCAAATTATACCGTCTACAACCCTCACAAAGAAATACAACACCCAAATAGAAAACAAAGATCATGCATGTGGAATATCAGAAACCCAACATTGAAAAAAAAGGAAACATGCGCATGCAGATGTCAGAATGTGAACAGCCATATGAGGAAAAGTCTTATGCTATGCATGCTATAGAACAAACTAAATGGCCAACTAGAATGCAAAACAGATGAAGAGAGTTTAACTGCTTGTTCAAAAATAAATTAGCAATCTCAGGTACAATAACAATATTATGGCTGTTCC